AAAACAAATTCCTCGTATGTGTAAACATACCTGGCAATAAAGCTCATTCTGATTCTGATTCTGATTCTGATGAACAGTAGTGCTTGAACGTCAAATTCCATCATCTCTGCTACCTTTGAGAGCCTTCACATGTGGGAAAACTAAAGAATGGCTTTGTTTTCTTTCACAACAGATTCCTAGGCAATCTTCCAAGGCAGAAGGAGGATCCCAAATGGCGGAAAACGATAGATCAAAAGCAGTGTTGGGAAGGTTACTTTGGAAATGTAATAGGTTACAGATTACAAGTTACCCTACTTGAAATGTAATAAGTAGTGTAACTTTTCAATTCCTGAAACATTGGTGTCTTTTTGAAACATTGTATATGATATGATGATAGTTTTCTCAAAATAAGTAAAATGCTCATGAATTGACTCAGAGCAATTCTAGAGATTATGTTTTTGTGTTCATGTACTCAATATATATATATATATATATATATATATATATTGACGCGGCAGAGGTTGCAAACACCGTGAGCTTCAGTAGGCCTATGTGTAGTAAATGAAACCGCATGTCTGTGCCATTAATTTCCACGAGGGGCGGACTGGGAAAAAAATTTCAGGCCGGGAAATCTCACACTCATACACCCACAACAAATTCTGAAACATGGAAAACCCTATTTTTTGTATAGACCTCCCGATGGACAGTCCGCGCCTGATTTCCACAGACACGCAGAACGTGCAGGATTCATATGTTGTCTTTTCGCGGCTTATTATTCACAAACACTAGTCCATATCGCATTTTGATTCAAGTGTACTGACCTACTTTTGGTTTATTCGTCCAAAATGTGGCATATTCCGTCCGCGTTAGGCTATAGGAATTCCGTTTTTATGACTGGATTCTACGAACCAGTCTCTGTTTTCCACATCGCGGAAATTATAGGGCCATCTCAGAGTAGTCAGTGTAATTTGGGGAAAAAATCAGTTAAATCTGTATGTAGATGTGTGTAAATATTCAAATGTAATCCCCTTTGTAATCATTAACATTTTCATAAGTAACTGTAATTTAATTACACATTTTTTCTTAGTAACTGTAACTGATTACAGTTACATTTATTTTGTAATTAAATTACGTAACGCCGTTACATGTAACTAGTTACTCCCCAACACTGACCAAAAGAATGTGTGAGTTGCTCTCTGGTGCTGGAGACTAGTGTAGGAGACCACATGCACAGTCCCAGTGGCAATTCTCAAAAGCAGCCCCTTAAGGTTACGGAACTCAAGGAGATATCAGAGGAAACCCGTCAGCTGAAGAAGAAGGTCATGAAACAGATTCCTATGCAGCAGAAAGTAGTTCTTGGTGGCAATAACAAGGAAGTATCCAACCACAGATCCCCGAGGAAGAGTCTGAAAGATTGCACCCAGATCTCCTCCTCATCGTCTTCTTACATTCATACAGTGCAAAACAGCAGAAATGCCTCCCCTACTGCAGAATGAGAATGGAAGAATAGTCAGAGTGGGATGTGGGTTTCATTATTTATCCTGCAGGTCTGTCATGTTCATTTAATGCATTAAGCATAGCAGTCATGGGTCATGATTTCTAAAGAGCTGGCAGAGGTGTACGTCAACCAATGCAAAACTCAACAGTCAGTGACTTACATATAGTTATACATTTGGAGGTTCTGGATGGTGTTTTTCCATTTCTTGTCCATAATAAAGCAAAGTTATTTATTAAGTTAAGTTAATTTGCTGCTCAAGAAACATATCTTATTCTTATCACTGTTGAAAATAGTTATGCTGCTTAATATTTTTGTGGAAACAGTGATACATTGTTTTCAGTATTCTTTGATGCATAGAAAGTTCAAAAGAACAGCATTTATTTGAAACAAATCTTTTGTAACATGATAAATGTCTTTACTGTCACTTCTAATCAATTTAATGCATCCTTGCTAAATAAAAATTATAATTTCTTTCAAAAAAAAAACTTACTGACCCCAAACTTTTGATCACTAGTGTAATTATGGGGAAAATGCTGATTTAGAAATTGTGGTGTGACTTATATAAATACATTAAAATAAATCTTTCATTATTTGTGACTGATTGTATAATAGTAACTATAATTGCAGAGGTGGTGCAAATCTCATTAATGAAACAGGGCTACTTTTCAATATTTTTTTTATTGTTTCAACAGTCACAGCAATTGGTGATCATACACTTTTTCAATAAGACATCCCTTGAAAAACCAAGATATGAGGAATGAGATTTGATCATTACACGACAGGATCATTAAAGAAAGACTGCACAGATGTGACTCGGCTAAAAAGAAAACCAACCCATTAAGTACATTAAATACTTCATAATCAGATTTTTACCATGTCCCTGCCTATTGTATGTTTGAGTAAACAGTGTGCTAGGTTGAGAAATCCTCAGATTTTTTTTTTTTTGTTCACTTTAAAGATACCAGATTGAAAATTACAGCAAGTCATTACAACAAAGGTTATTCACTATTCAGTTATATTATATATGGAATTAATATTAACATTTGAAATTAATTTGTGCAAACGCCTCTTTAGTCATAGCATAAAGAGCTGATCAAAATGTTTACATGTATACTTGTAATGCCTAATTGTGGTCTATAAATACATATTAATATATATGATTTTTTTTGTTTGTTGATAAATTGTTGATCAGTAAATACACATGTACATAAACTGTGAGCTGTATACCATGTATTCATTGCATTTGTTTCCCTTTAAACTTCTACCTGTAATCTTTCATCAACCATAGTTAACATACTTTGACAACATGATTTTGGTGTAACAATGTATTCAATACAAATACAGCATATTCATTTACTGATTGTAACATTACACTGTACAATGGCACTCAGGGGAAGTGTTCCTTTGATTTATTAGCTTTATAGCACAAGAATTATTAAACAGTGTGGTCTAGAAACCAATACATGTTCTCCATAAAGCACTTAAACAGCCTGAGAAAAGAAGCTGGGAAAAAACACATTCTGTGCTGTTACCTGAATGCACACAGACGCAATCATCAAACATTGTAATTAAACTGCAAGACGGCCTTGAGCTGACAACAGCTCCTTGAATGATAATAGCTGATACTGTTGGAGCCTTTTGTATTTGATAAATGTAGCATAAGACAATGTTGTCTTGCGTCAGCTTATATTTTTAGGCCACAGCACATCAGCATTGACTCATGAAAGATTCCCACGGCCGTCATCACCACAGTGTTTACCTTCTTCCAACATTCATGATTATTTGCAGAAGCACTGACATCTTTCCTGTTTACAAGTAAAAGCTGGAAATTTGCTGAAAAGTTACTCACCCTCAGGCCAGCCAAGATGTAGATGAGATTGCTTCTTAATCTGAACAGAATTGGAGAAATTTAGCATTACATCATTTGCTCTCCAGTGGATCCTCTGCAGTGAATGGGTGCCGTCAGAATGAGATTTAAAACAGCTGATAAAAACATCACAATAATCCACAAGTAATCAACACGACTGCAGCCATCAAATCACATTTTGTAATAAAAAACACATCAAGTCATTGTAATGTCAAACCATTGCTTCTGACTAAAATACGAGTCCTCTATCCATAATAATGTTTATTCCAATGTAAAAGTCATCTCATCTGATTCAAGAGAAATATTCACAGATCAAGTACAGTTTAGAATCAAAAACAGTCCAAAACAGTTGTTTATGTAGATTACTTGTGAATTATGATGATGTTTTTATCAGCTGTTTGGACTCTCATTTTGACGGCACCCATTCACTGCAGAGGATCCACTGGTGAGCAAGTGATGTAATGCTAAATTTCTCCAAATCTGCTCAGATGAAGAAACAAACTCATCTACATCTTGAATGGCCTAAGGGTGAGAAATTTTTCAGCAAATTTTCATTTCTGGCTGAACTTTTCCTTTTAAAGCAAGCAAAGGAGGTTAAATTATATATTTATCCTCAAACAATGGAATATTCACTCCACTTATGATTGGTATAATCTGCTGCCACATAGCATCTTGAGCATTTTATTGAGAACTCTCTGATGTCAACATGTTCTCAATGGAAGCCATCGCCTTAGCAGACAAACTAGGGCAATCTCTTAGTTGCCCACATGGAAGATTCAGCTGTAGTCACATGAGAGATCCCAGACTCTCATGCAAGCCACAGCAATGGCTCGTCCCTCTCAATGGATCTAAAATAGGTCGTATCAGATCACATAAGCTTTATTTCCAGAGCTCCCATTAGCTTCACAGCGAATCTGTTCGCCTGCGGGTGAACACTGCAGACATGCTCTTCACAATGCCCTTGATGCCTGCTAACTTTTTCACAGATACCCTGGACTCCCTGATGCGATCCACCAGCCCATGGAAAACCATGAGGACACTGTGGTAGTTCTCAGCAGCTGAGACCTCATAAAACTGACAGTCTGCCGAGAGCGCAAGCAGCCAGCCCTCTTCACTGAGGACCGCACGACGGTGGTGCAGGTCCCTCTTGTTTCCCACAATAACTATGGGCATCTTCTCAAAGCCCAGAATGTCCTTATTGGTTTTGATAATTTGAATGAGTCTGGAGACCGCATTGAAACTGGCTCGGTCACAGATGCTGTAGACCAGCACAAAGCCATCTGCCCACTGGACTCTCTTTTCGTACATCAAGGACTCGGAAGACGGGTCCTGCTGAGAAGACAAACATTAGGTATTCATTCAACATTCAGATGGTGTATATAATATTTGTTATTCACTAAATATAAAAAAGAAACTGCATAAAAACTGCCTAAGCTAATTTGATGGTCTTGGCTGGTTTAAGATGGTCTTATAGGCTATAAGATAAGGTTATGATATAAGCTATAAGCTAATAAGATATAAGCTATTGTACAAGCTTTTATACAGATGGTTTATCTAGCCTAACAAGTTACATAAAGTGTCCAAAACCCTTATAAATCTAGCCAACAGACCAACTTGACCAGGCTGGGAGACCAGCTAAGACCACCACATCATTTTAAGCAGGTTTAAACTGTTTTTTTTTTCTTCACCAGGGATATCTAAAAATAATTGAAAATGACAAAAAAATGAATTATATACATACATATATATATATATGTGTGTGTGCGTGCGTGCGTGCGTGCGTGTGTAACCAGTCTCAAGTTGCATGGGTATATTTGTAGCAATAGCCAAAAATACTTTGTATGGGTCAAAATTATTGATTTTTCTTCAATGCCAAAAATCATTAGGATATTAAGTAAACATCATGTTCCATGAAGATATTTAGTAAATTTCCTTTCGTGAATATATCAAAACTTAATTTTTGATTAGTAATATGAATTGCTTCATTTGGACAATTCATTTGGACAACTTTAAAGGTGATTTTCTCAATATTTAAATTTTTTTGCACCCTCAGATTCCAGATTTTTAAATAGAATCAATAATTTTGACCCATACAATGTATTTTTGGCTATCGCTACAAAATATATACCCCAGCGACTTAAGACTGTTTTTGTGATCCAGGGTCACAAATATTGTCCTATACTAACAAACCATACACCAATGGAAAGCTTATTTATTCCGCTTTCAGATGATGTATAAATCTCAATTTCAAAAAATTGACCCTTATGACTGGTTTTGTGGTCCATGGTCACATATATATAAAAGATAGGTTAAATAGCTGATAGAAAGTTATCTGGTTATGAAACACTGAATCACCTGTGAATATGGCGCATCCCATATATTCAAAGTTTGCTCTCGTCCATCCACAACAACATTGTGAGTGTAAAGGGACTCTGTAGAGAAACCAGCGTATCAGTTATAATGAAATGTAAAAATATTAAGAAAAATGTCTCAGGTTGCTTATGTAACCATGGTTCCCTGAGTAGGGAACGAGACACTGCGTCCTCTAGGGTCGCTATGAAGAAACCTAGAGGACGCAGTTCGAAGTTCCCATGATAGGGAACGTCTCAGGTTACTTATGTAACCATGGTTCCCTGAGTAGGGAACGAGACACTGCGTCCTCTAGGTTTCTTCATAGCGACCCCTAGAGGACGCAGTTCGAAGTTCCCATGATAGGGAACTTATGAACTTATAAATCAATCAGTAAAAAGGCAACATACCAATATCCCCATATTCCCCGATGAATCTACGAGTCAGGAATCGGACAATAAGCGCTGCAAAACACAAAACTTATGAGCAAGCAAAATGTTTTTAAAGTTGCAAAAGATGACTGAAGAAGAAAGAAATGCATTTTATGGATGTATATCATGGAATACTTCCTAAAAAATAAACTTACCAGATTTTCCAACATTGTCTGTGCCGAGTACCACGACGTTTGCATCCATTCTCTGTCCGTTTAGTCATGTCCTTTACAGATGCTGCTGCAAGTGATCTGGCGCGTCTCCGCAGCAGTCAACAAAGTTGAGGAGAAGGCGGGGCTTCGTTCGACGTGCTCGCTCCCGTGACGCTGATGTGCCCTCCCTGACGCTGAGATTCATGAGCAGAAAACTCATAGCAGTCACAACAAACATTGCATGACCGATGGATTGAAAGACATAAAAGAGCGGTATGTAAGTAAACGGCATTTAATTGCCATACTTTGCTGAAA